TATCTTCAGACCCTTAATGCACTCCCACAAGAAAATTTGCAAGAAACTAACACAGAGGAAACTTTTCAATAAGGCACTACTCGTGACCTGCTCCTTCAGAATGTGAAACTGATCTAACTCATGATAAAGAAGCCCGAGAAACAACGAAGCCAATGAAACCATGTGGCCACGTGCAATCGCCATGGCCCAAGGAATCACTTGGCGACTGAAAGTATCCTTGCTATCATAGAAGACAAAGCGGCCTAGCCATAAACACAACATGGCCTCAAACCTGCAGTTTAGCTTTTGTTTATTCTGCCAAAAGTGTTTGATCCATTCGTTGAAGCGAAAAACCTTGCTCGAAGAAGTAGAAGCACCCTTCTTCAAAACATCAAAAATGTCGATGTCTATAGAATGAATGACGTAATAGAATGGATCCACATTACCTGCAATTAGAAGATGCATAATATTAGCAACATCCTCCAGAGGGGTAAATCATCCCCAAGCACAAACAAAGGTATGGGTCTCTATACCTAACCACATAGCAAAGAAATTCGGGCTCGAGGTGAACAACTTGTTTCTTGGTCATGAAAACAGTGTCCAAAACCTTGGCCCTTGTCAAGGTCGCATAATGGTTCGCAAAGCTAGGCTCAATATCCACCCAATATGCCCAGCCAATGGCCTCACCACAAGAGAACTCGAAGTGGATTAGTATGGCGAGAAACAACCCACTCTCAATGCAGCACCGAGAAATACATCTGGGATCAATAGGAGGGACCGAGTCGAAGGAAGGCTCTTCCTTCTTGAATACCTTGCTTTGAGAACCAAGAGGAGGAGGCGGCTTGCCTTGTCAAAGTCTGTCCTCAGAAATGAATGACCTATCAACTGCAGTTAGACACTTCGGTGATTCCACAACCACACATATGGAAAGCAAGCGTCAAACCATAAATATCACAAACTAGTACATCATGCAAGAAGAAACATGCAGGTATACAAGGCAAAACATGATAAAGAATTTACCCTAGGAAAGCAAACAAACGCGCATTGGGAAAGCAAAAGTCTAGGACTTTAACATGGGACTATTTTCCTTACATGAAATCACCCAAAACACATGCATCTTTCCCTACACATGCCATGTTATCAAAGCCCTAAAAGATCTAGCCAAGGAAAGTATGTTATACGTGTACCCAAGCAAAAACAAATTATATATGCAGTCAAGCTAATCATGCCAAGTAGATCAATGCAATCAATTAATCGATCTCGCTCAAGCACGTATCAACACGCAAGCAAGCTAAGCTCGATGACAATTGTACAGTATACATGAAAAGCAGGAAAGAAATCGCAAAGAGCAAACGTACATGATTTTGATGCAGCAAGACTACCTAAGGAGTGGAGTTCGATTTCCCAAAGGAATGACTCACACCCCTTATGCGTCCATGCAGAAACCCCGAAATCTTCAAAACACATAATCAAAGAGGAGAGATGCATTGGCTAATTTCATCACCATGGCAAACAAAGAAGACGAAAGGGAAAAGAAAATTTCAAATGATGGTCAAGGAAAGAATTTCTTTACCTGAAGAAAACCTTGTAGTGGAGCACAGAGAAGCATGAATGGGATGGCACAACCCAATGCAAAAAACAGAGAAGAATTTGGATAGAAAAGCAATTATGAAAATTTTGAACAAGGAATGAAAATTAAAGAATGAGAGAATGAGCAAGGACAAGTTAAATACGTGTCCTAAGGAGAAGAGCAGTTTGTAATGGTTACCAAGTGGAGGCAGGGGAATACCCAGAGTTTCTCTATATGATTGGACGTGCATGGGAAGCAAGGGAGCACAACAACAAGGAGTAATCAGTTGCCTCGAGCAAAAAGGAAGAGTCCCATCAGGAAGCCCACGTTCAAAAATAGAATCCCTTGGGCCTGGGGTTGATCATTCAGCCCACTCAAAGTTTCTCATAGCCCACATAATCAAGGGGGATAATGTTGGGGCCCAAAAATGTCACACACCAACCCAAACAAGTCTCAAGGCCCAATTGTCATGCAAAGCCTACATTCAAGCCCAAACACATATCAAGGCACGGGATCGACAAGGAACATATTTACAAACATGACATGCCACGGTGATTAAGTCGAATATTCACACCATGCTCATGCCTATCCATTACGCCATTCTTCCTTAGCCACAATTCATGCTAAGCCCAAGTCACATATTCGAGGCTTGTCAAGTGGATTATGGTGTGGATGGTTACGGAAGGTTATCGGGCCTACATGGAATTGGGGTCATAGAAGACTTTGGGCTGCTTGGGAGCCCAACGATCCAAGCCCATACACTTTGTATTTCAAGCATGCATCATTGAGAGAGAATTAGCCTAGTTTACCCATTTCTCTGGCAAGCCAACTCCCTTAGTTAGAATTAAACTATATTGTTGCATTAAATGGATGCTAAGCCTAGCAAGTCAGGCATCTAATGTTGACATTCCCTTCCCAGCCTACACAGACAACCAACGCACGAAAGCCATGAGGCGTGCTACCAGAAATAGCGTCTGCAGAAGACCAAGCCACAAAGGGAATAATATGAGGGCTAGGGAGAAATGAAAGAAAGACCAAGCCACATAGGGAGATTCCTTTGAAACCTAGAGAATAACCTTTCACTTACATAAGAAGGGAGAAGCCATCACAGAAATAGGGGATGGGAAGAACACAGAGGAAGAGATAGAGAAAACGTAGTGAGAGAGAACCACATAGGAAGAAGCCCATAAAATTCCACTTAGCCCAGAAGTATACTCTAAGCCCCAAGCATCACCATCCATGCAACCTTAGTAATTTCCATAGCTTTGCATTAAATATCCCAGCCATTAGAAACCTTACTATCACCCTACGAAAGCCCAGATTATCCAACAAGGAATGTCATGCAACCATGCAAATCCCTTCTCTCTCATGTAAAATGATAATCTTCTAGCTTCCACACCACGCTTCACTTGAACAAGTTATTATCTTGATCATTCATGCTAACTCTTTCAAGATATCCCGGGACTTGATATGAATCTGTGCCAAAGGAGACAAGAGGACGTTCTCAAAGCCCAAGTCCACCTCGACCTAAAAGTCCCCCAACATAAGTAATATATAAATATATAGGGATAAGACATGTGGCCAAAAGATAGGTAGGTAGAAATTAACTTCAACACATGTCCTATTCGGTGGCATCTAAGTGTTTTCTCACATCTAATAATGCACAACATGGTGTTGTCGCATCAAAATACTACTTTTTACCATATATTTGTATTATCTTTCTAACAGAATTGGAATCCACGTTATTAATAAACTCTTCCTTTATTGGAAAGATGGTATAAATACTAGTACAAATATGTAATTACTATAGCATTACTCCTTTGCATGCAAATCATGGCCACATCCTGCTAAATATTCGAATGCAAAGACAACTCAAGTTAAAGATAGGAATAGGTTTATTGATGTATATATATGTATGTACTCATATAAAAATATTCAAAATTAGTTGATGAATTGGCTTGTCAACATGCACTGAATATGGAGCAAGGCCGGTTACGTGATGAGCAAGACAAACCTAAAGATGAAGTAAAGGCGAGAGAAAGGGAGTTAAATAGACAAGAAAGGCAAGAGGAGAAGGATTGGGATACCATGTCACAACACCTCGAATAAATGTCTCCTGATTTAAAATGTTTTTGGAGATGCAAAAAAAAAGGGCGTCATGAGAAGAAGGTTTTCTGTGAAAGATGAGGAAGTTCCATACATTCTAAGGGAAGACGGACCTAGCCCCACTAATTTTATCCCCTAGATTGTAGGCTACTAAGAATAATATTGTTTCACTATCATAACTGGTTATAATAGTACGATAGTATTCGCTTTTTAATTTTTAATTAATTATGCTTATTGAATAAGAACATGTGGTACTATGTGAATGGTCAAGAATCTTATAAAAATCTGAGTAGATATTATTAGCGGATAATAAGCAATAATGACACGTAAAGAATAAGGCAACAAAAAATAAAAAAATATTTGTGAAAAGTAGTTGTCCTTGCCCTTTGATGTATAAATATAGTTCCTATGTTAAATTTGATTTTTTGTGGCTTCTCATCTTTCAAAGCTATGTTTTATTAGGTGCCTAGTATCTATAACAATCTTTTCATTAAGTATTTATCTTGCCATTGTAATGTAATCTCTTTATTTAAATGACTACTTCCGTGGGTCATCATATTAGTGGTATATGTATTTAGAATGGAGTTATCCATTCTCAAGCCAAAAACGCTCTTCTGTTTGACTCTATAGACCTCGGGTGCCCCAAAGCTTCTCTTTAAATTAATTCCTTTATTTTCTAAAAAAGTGTTATTTATCTTCTCGTTTTCTTGTGTCATAAACGTGAAAAGAAAAGAGAAAGCGTACAGATACTTTTATATACATGGACACTTTTGAGAATGCGTTATATTTTACAAGAGTGTTTGCCTTTGCCATCCTTATCCCTTGTGAATGAATGTGTTGATGAAGTTTTCTACAATCAAATTAGTACCTCCATTATATATTGAAAGTCCTTTTTTTTTAGCAAACGATATTATCTACATTAAGGGGTGAAGAAGTGGACTAAGCCTTACACTGGGCTAACCATAATAATATAATTCAAATTCACCTTTGGTGATAATTGAACCTAACAACTCTCCCTTACACGTAAAGAGGAATACTACTAAGTTGTAATACTAAATAGCTAAATCGAAAGTTTTATGAAATCAAATAAAGATATTGTTGAATAAAGAAAATATTTTAATTTATATAAATCCTACTGCTATGCAAAACAAATACTAAAATGAAAATAAAGTTATTCCCCAATCGACTATCATTGCCTAAGTGTCAAACATATGCAAATCCATTTCTCATTCCTAAAATGGCCACAGACTACTGAAACAGAAAAAAAATTGGATGCATTTTTAACAGTTTTCTTATACCTAGCTAATCTGAATAATATACGAGTTGATAAGTAAAACGCATCTAGTTCTTGTGTTCATGTCATTTATGAAAAATAAAACACGAAAACTGACACATCCTCAACATAGTCTCTACAGACAAGAATTACTAACAAAATCAATAAAAATGCAAAAAAAATTCCCTCCACATCAGTCCTACGTGCAATGAACCTACAGATCATGACAACCCGTGAAAATTTCACAAGACAAATAAAGACTTAATAAAGACTAGTAGTAACAACAATATTAAGCATGGACACATGAGTCACATGACATGATATAAAGAAATATAAAATAAAAGTGACATTAGTGTTGTATCATCAAAATCTAACTGTGAACATGCCTGATGGTTGGCAGCACTGGCACTCCAAATATGCAGGGTGAACCTGTTCCCACGCTATTGAAACTAAAGCACTTCCCGGCTGAAGCTGCTGATGCCCCAGTCCCACTATTTTTTTTATCTTCAACCACATCATCCTCGTCATCATCTTCACAACTATCGTTGTCGTCGTGGCCACCTTCACCAACATCATTATCATCATCATTCCCATTATGATTCTCGTTCTCATTCCCATTCCCATTCCCATTGCAAGCAAATGGGGAAATCAAAATCTCATCATCAAGCGGTATAAGCTGCAAAGTGAGCCTGCCATTTGACCTATGAGCCCTGAAGTACTCATGATGCCTAACCTTCTCCTCCGTGAGAATCAATCTCCCATCATCTGTGCAATGCCTCTTCAACACCCAAGGCATACGAGAGGGCAAGTTCTCAGTGCGTGCCAACAAAGGTATAGGAGGTGGAAACTCCTTATTCTTCAATGCCCATTTTTGCTCCCTCCTACTCCTTACCCTCTGACCAAAATTACCATCATGCCCATCACCACCACTACCGGTCACCTTCGGTAGCAGTTGATGATCCTCACCGTCCTTAAGCACGTCAGTCGAGCTCTCCATTCCAATGTAATCTCCACTCAAAAGAGAAGAGGAAGTTGGGGATAGCAAGTCGGAGAGCGTCATGGAGCAAGTTTTATGAGATGGGTTTTTTTTGGGGTCTAGGATTAAGGCCTTGAAACCAAATCCTAGGCGGGTTGGAGTTTGGTTTTGGCATGGGCGAGGCTCATTGGGGATCTGCATGGTGTTATTATACAAGTGCATTATGTGAGACAGATACGGACAGTGTGGCAGAGCCCTCTCAGGCTGATTTGTTTAAATGATGGTTTGGAAACTACAGAGATGTGTATATTGGATAGAGAGAGCCAGCTAATATTTGTGACATAAATATTTGGGTTTATTCAGGAAGCAAAATCTGATAAAATTGATGTGTTGCACTGTGACTTGCCTGGACAATTTCAGAACAAGAAACCAAAAGAAAATTTGTTAAGCCTGCACGTGTAAATATTTGGTCAATATTGCTAATAAGTAATAGCTAAAATAAGTAAAACCTAGAAATGATACAACAAAATAGAGGGTTGTCAAGAAAATTTTACAAATTGTATTGTATTGTATGAAAAAAAAATTAATTGCCAAACTGTGAATTTGAACAAGGCACATTCTAATTTTGCTATTTATAGACCGAATATTTAATTTTTTTGAAAGTTCAATGCATAACACGTCAGATTGTTAATCTAATATTATACATTCAAATTCATCAAAAATGCATGCCATGTTAGATTGTTTATCAGAGTGTAGATTCAAATTCATTTGAAATTCAATGCATGACACGTTAGATTGTTAATCTAAACCGTACATTCAAATTTATTTAAACATTCATATTCATTTGAAATTCAATGTATAACACATCATATTCTTCGTCTAAAATGTACAATCAGATTCATTTGAACATTCATTGACAATTAATATTACACGTTTTATTCTTAGTCTTCACTGCTCTTTTTACGCAAAAATAATAATAACTTTGAATTTAGTCTTACACATGGTCTGTGGATTGCAACACGTGCAATTTTGATGGCATTTATGGATATATGTATGTATGAGTAATGCTAGGTAGACTAAATTTGTAAATTAAATGATGCGTCACCAATAAGAAATAAACACGTTAATCAACACTTAAGTATCCCTAGCATAATCCATGTCATTTAGTTTACAAAATTTAGTTTAAAATTTTGGTCTTCCTAGCATTAGCGTGCTTATTTTCTATTGGTGACACATATTTGGTTTGTAAAGTTGGTTTAAAATTTTGGTCTTCCTAACATTATCTTGATTGAAATTACCTAATCATGTCATGGCTCATGATCAACGGCCCAAAATGCATGACTGTATGCCATCCAACGACAAGCGTATTCTATAAAATTAGAAAACAAAACACTAAATTGGTTGTTCAAAAAATAAATAAATTGGGAGGGAGTAGAATTCTCTTCCCCCTATTTCCATCCTCTTCTTTTTCCTCCTCTCACATATTGCTTTTTTTTGTCTTCTTTTGGCTATTAAAAATTAACACAAAACGTTGACGTGATTTAACCGTAATCATTGAAAGATGAGGAGAGAGAAGGGAAGAGAAACTAGGAGGATAGAGAATTCTACTCCAATTGGTGGAAGCAAAAAACACAAAAGGAAACGTATTTGCGTCCGAAGAACTCGAGAGAGAAATTATGCAGGTAAACAAATCAGCATGCAAACCTGCAAAGCATCCCTACTTTCTGTTTTTTAATTTTATTGTTTGCTTCAACCATAATTTGCAAATCATTAAACATAATAAATAAATAAACTAATATCATATTAAATGTGAGACCATGATTTTGTGATGGAGTTGATGAATTTTGACAATTTTGTTTGTATTACCGATTAGCAACTAAAGGAGATGGTAATAATATTAAGATGAAATAATGTCACTTTTAAACATTAAGAAGCAGATATTAATTCCAGGGAAAAAAAACACACTGAATTCAGGCAATGTGAAAGAATAAAAAAATGACCCAGAAAAGGAAATTAACCAACAGATAAAGCCGATATTAAAAAGATTAATTACAAGGAAATCGATTAGAGAGCTGCCAATTCAACGAATTCATATCCAAATGCACATCTATAAGCTGAATGAAAAATTAATGTTGGCATGAACAAAGAACAAAACATTCAAGAATAAGCGCACAATGCAACTCAAAAAAAAAAAAAAAAAAGAATTCGGAGTTAACAATTTTGATAAATCAAGAGTTCGATTCCTTCGTATCACATTAAAGGATAAACATATAACTGTAGAAAAATGATTCTCAATTAATGATGACGATAAGTCAAGAGCTCGATTCCATCTAATCATAAGAGAATGATAACAAATACGAAAAACTTACAGGATGAAAGAGGATTAACGAAAAACTTACAGGATGAAAGAGGATTAAGGTGTAGATGATAAGTAGGGTTGTTGTTTGTGTAGTCACAACAGGGATGTTGATAGAGGTGGTGGAGAAGACGAGGGTACGAAGCCACACAACTCATAATGATCAAAGAAAGAGAGAGTGGCCCCGTCACCAAGAGAAATTCTTTTGTTTGTGTAATAGAGACTTTTACTTAAATTTGGGATTCAAAAAACACAAAAACAAATAAAAGTGCCGTTGTTTTTTGCTTTCTTTTTAAATGTAACGGGAGTGTGTGTCTGTTAGCCTTGTCTATCCTGTCCGTCTTTTAGATGGAGGATTTGTGTGATGAGTTCTAAAAATAGGCAAGTGTGTTCTAGGGATTAGCGTGATAACCGAGTATGACTCGGCGCAGTACTTGAGATGTCCAGACATTTTGGGAATTTTATTCCACACAAGTTTATATGCTTTTTTTGTTCAACTTATGCCCTATCGGCTTTAGAGTTTTAAAACGAGATTTTTTTAGTATGCATCCATGTATAGTACACATTGATAGTTTTATTGGTTCGAATTTTTACCGTATATTTAATCATTCATTGATCCGTTACATGTAATACATTGAAACCATAGTGGAAGTTTTGGATTTTAACATTAAAAATATTTCTAGAATTTACTAAAATGTTCCCAAAACTCATTTGTCTATGAAAAAATTGACATTGGCAGCACCAATGTATTTTATGTGAACATGCCAAATTCGGAGATAATTATGACTTCAATATTCTTGGTTTTTCGACTAATTTTTATATGTTGAGGATTAAATTTCAACTTCCATAAAACAAACAACAACAACAACAACAACAAAACATTTTCCCACTAAGTGAGATCGGCTATATGAATCCTAGAACGCCAATGCGCTCAGTTCTGTGTCATATCCTCCGTTAGATCCAAGTACTCTAAGTCTTTTCTTAGAGTCTCTTCCAAAGTTTTCCTAGGTTTTCCTCTACCCCTTCGGCCCTGAACCCTTGTCCTGTAGTCGCATCTTCTAACCAGAGCATCAATAGGCCTTCTTTGCACATGTCCAAACCACCGTAACCGATTTTCTCTCATATTTCCTTCAATTTCGGCTACTCCTACTTTACCTCGAATATCCTCATTCCTAATCTTATCATTTCCCGTGTATTGGTTCTAGGGTTCAACTATTGTGTAGGTTAGATGTTGCTGGGCACACCATGAATTTAAGTTGTAGATGGCTGGGGTACGTCTTTTTTAGATTTTAGATATAGAACTGAAACAATATGAAGGAGATTGGTATTTAGATAACGTGATAAATCTAAGGAAAAGCCAAATTTTCCTTTTTCTAAAAAGAGATGACAAAAAGAAATTTAAACATGATGGTATTGTCTCTCTTTTCTTGTAAGATGAATGCTAAGAAGGCTATTTCAAAAGTGAAAATCTATTAAAATTTTGTCATTTTGTGTTTTTGCACAATTTTTTATAATATTAGCATGAAAATTATCTATCTGTATAATAAATAGACACAAATCTTAAAATTTAAATTAATCTACATAGGGTCACCATTTGAAGATAGTGAGCAATAATGCACCCTAAACTGTGAGGTAGCAAGTCCCGTTAGCATTAATATTTTTATAAACAATTAAACATGATGACATGTTGATAAATTAACTTTATCATATGATTTTGGTTGCCATCTACACTCAAATTAATGCAAGGGAGGATTGAGGAATTTGGTCTAAGGCGGGCGAGGTTAAAAAAAAGTTACTTTAGACAATGTTGAGACTCAAAAACGATCATATCCAAGTCCAATCACGTCTCAAAGCCTAATTGTCATACAAGCTTCAAATCAAGTCTAAACATATGCAAATGTGCGAAATCGAAAAAGAAAGATATTCACTATCATGCCATGTTGTAGTAATTAAACCGGACATTTGGATAAATCATGTCAAGCCCATGCAAATCCATGCATATTTATCGTGCCACGCTTTATCACGCTAACTACTATTCACGCTAAAGTAAACCCAACTCACATGCACGGGGCTGGCCAAGTGAATAATGGTGTGAATGGTTAAGGAAGTTTGCTAGGCCTATGAGGAGTCAAACTACTTGTGCCCAAAGATCCAAGCCCATAATCTTTAAAGTCCATGTGGGTGAGTTTGCGAGAGAACAAACTTAGTTTCCTTCTTTCTCTAGGAAGCCAACCAATCTAGTTAGGAAGAAACCAAACCCTAAGCCTTAAGTTCACGTGAAAGCCTAGCAAAGCATGCATTTAATGAAGAGAGAGGATAGCTTTCCCTTCCTAGTTCACGCAGAAGAACGATGTATGAAAGTCGGGAGATGCTTGTGGAAACTGACCCATGAAAGCAGTGTTTTGGGAAGGAGGCGCAGCGCAGTCTTCACAAGCACAGCAGCACTCATTTGCATTATATCAATACGGAAGGTCATAGTTATGTCAAGAGAAAGAGGAAGGAAGACCTAGCCATAATTAGAGATTCCGTAGGAAGTCTAGAAAAGCACCATTTACCTACAAAATGGGAGAACTAAATACAAAAACAAGGAACAACAAAGAGTGAGAGAAAGAAGAGAACATATAACGTTAGAAGGAGATTTAAGTCTGTACTACACCACACTAGGGAAATCACTCTCTAATTGCAAACAATCTTGGACCTTCGAGAGAACCATCTCCCTGCAACCTTAGGGCGCGTTTGTTACACTGGACTATTTCGGATTGGACTAACTTCAGGGACAAAACTTGACTGGCTTGACTTAGACTAAGCAAGATAAGTACAATGAAATGTTTGATGCAGTGTTGGACTAAACTACAAACTAAATTTTTTTAAGATTCTCAATTTTTTTTATTATTTTGAATTCACTTTTAAATTATAAAAATAAATAAATATTATATTTATAAAAATATCTTCTGCATTAGTTTTTTTATAATATCTTCTGTAGAACCCTACCATTTTCTAGAAGGAGCTTCCCCTTTCTCTCTCACAACCGCTTCTTGTCACATCCCGGCCCGAGCCCCCACCACATCCCGGGCTTAACTCCGTCATAGCACAATATTGTCTGCTTTTGGCCCCGACCACACCCTCAAGGTTTTATTTCTGGGAACTCACACGAGAACTTCCTAGTGGGTCACCCATCATGGGATTGCACTCTCGCGAACTCGCTTAACTTCGGAGTTCTGATGGAACCCGAAACTAGTGAGCTCCCAAAAGGCCTCGTGCTAGGTAGAGATAGGAATATACATATAAGGCTTACAGGATCCATTCCCCTGGGCGATGTGGGGTCTAACAATCCACCCCTCTTCGGGGCCTGACGTCTTCGTCAGCACACTTCCGACCAGGGCTTGGCTCTGATACCAAATTGTCACATCTCGACCCGGGTCCCTACCACACCCTAGGCTCAACTCCGCCGTAGCACGATATTGTCCGCTTTGGGCCCCGACCACACCCTCACGATTTTGTTTCTAGGAACTCACACGAGAACTTCCCAGTAGGTCATCCATCATGGGATTGCTCTTTCGTGAACTCGCTTAACTTTGGAGTTTCGATGAAACCCGAAGCTAGTGAACTCCCAAAAGGCCTTGTGCTAGGTAAAGATGGGAATATACATATAAGGCTTACGGGATCCACTTCCCTGGGCGATGTGGGATCTAACACTTCCCATTTCCTCTTTCTCACAACTTTGTAGACGACGCACCTCTCCCTCTTCACTTTCTCTCACATCTTCACTTCCTCTTTCTCCCTCTTAATGTAGAGGTATCAATGCTCATCCCACTTGTCGTCGACAAAAATTCCTCCTCTCACAACTAAGCAAAACGAACAAATCAACAAATACTATGGCACAATTTGGATTTTGGTGGTACTGGAACAACTAATGTGTAGCTGATGGAACGATAGATGCACAACGATTTTGTAAATTTGTTTTTATTTTTTGTTTCAAATTCTTGGTTGGATTTTTTTTAAATGGGTTTTAAATTCTGGGTTGTTTCGAATTTTGGGTCAAATTATGGGTTTCAAACTATGCTATTTGGTTTTGAAAATGGTTGACCAAGTGAGGAAGCAGAAGATGGGACGGGCGAAGCGGGGAGAGACGAAGCGAAGCTCATTGGTCTTAACAGTCCGCCCAAAATTGGGGGGTCTCACTAAGACCCTTTAGCGAACCCATTAGTCCATGCGAGTCCCACTTTGTCCCATTAAAGTTGGTCCCTGCTGGAACCAAACACAAGCTTACACAAAAACTTAATCTAGTATAGTCTAGTGAAACCTAGAGAGGGCAAACAAAAACACCTTTATGGTTTTCCCTAACCTTCCCTCAACCCTTTCTATTAACAGAAGCCCTTTTAGAACCTTAGAAAACCCAGTTTACCCAACCTAGAACACTAGGCAAACATGCAAACTCTCTATCTCCCATGCTAAATTGATAAGCTTCTAACTGCCACACCATGCCTCACTTGAGCAAGTCATTATTTGCTTAATTGTGTTGTCTTTGAGTTATTGATCTAACCAGGATATTTCCTAAGACGTGCTAATTCTTTCGAGATACTCCAGGACTTAGTACGAAAGCGAACCAAGGGAGGCAAAAGGATACTAGCAAAGCCCAAGTTTATCTCGACCTAAAAAGCACCCAAAAGACAACAAAAACCTTTAATATTAAACAACACTATTATCATTCATGAATTTGAATAAAACACATTACATTTACAAGCTACAATTGTCCACAACGAGATTTCATACCATGAAAACATCACATTAAGATTTCTTTATCAATATGAGCATAACAATTTCTTCTCAATTTAAACAATTGAGATGTCACTCAAATATTGATCTCTCATTCTATTACAAAGTCAATTTTGATAGCTTGATTGTGACGCTGGAAGATTGAAAAGAAGTTTGAGATAGTAAATTTGAGTAAAGTGCGTGAATTGTGTTTGAAATGGAAGATAAAAGCCAAAAATGTCTGCTAGTTTCAGGTACAAAAGGGATCTGCAATCCGTAAATCATTTGTTACTTCTAGATGCCAAAAAATCATCGTCTTTCCCTAAACTTTTGTACAAACAGATTGAATATTTGGAAATGATGATGATTTGTTATTTCTTGATGCCAACAAAGGCCCAAAGGGCCAACCCAGAAGCCGGATTCAGCCTCAAAGGCAAGATCCAGACTCCACCATTAGACCTAACGAGCCTAAGGTAGGACCAAGATGTAATGGACTTATGAGCAAGGCATTTGCTGGCCTGGTGTTAGGCCAACCAGGCCCGACTTTTTGTTGGATGATGTCGGAATCAAATTTTCCTATCCAAGTTGAAGAACTTGGTAATTCTTTTAAGCACATTATTTTTCATAAGTGCGCGGTTGGAATTTAATCAAATGAAATACATTTAGTTAAATCTAACCATTACTTTTTGTGTTTTGATGTGGAGGAGGGCACTCATGGCCAACTATTGTCGCACTTATGGGTCTACTTGAGACATAAATGTTCACCCACGACCCATCCCCATGCACTGTTTTGCACATAAACCACCATATTGGTGAGTATCCCACCGTATTCTGTATAATAACTATACACTATCTATACCAATATGGTAAAAATACGTTCCCCAAATACTATGTACACCGTGCGCACAACCCAAGTGCACGGGCGAGCAAACCTCCTGCTTGGGATTGCTTTTGGAACGACTAAAAATGCTCTTTGATAATAAAAAAAAAACGTTTGTATTTGGCATAAACACTTGCTAATAAAAATGATTTCTGAAAAAAATCCAGTAAAATGCTTCTTCAAGAGTAATCGCCTGAATCTTAATCAATAGATTCAATAGCACTTGTGAACAAAAATGGTTTCTAAAGAAGCAAAATCCCACACCAAACTGAACTGAAACTTATCTGTTATCCAGCATTTCATACTATGCTATTTTTTGCTTAACTACTTAGCTTAAGCATTTCAGTTCAAGGTTCGAAGCAAAAACCCCGAATGGGATATCTAATGTAACAAAATTAACTTTAATGAGTCTCAAGAAGCCATGTATCAAGTCACAACGAAGATCACCTTACACATATAGTAGAACCTAATCATTCGGAAACTTAGCAACACGACAACATTGTCAAAGAAAATCGAGAATTTCATTCAGAGAAAAGAAAGGGCAAGTCTCAAAACAAAACACTACACTCAACATAGAGGTATCATCCTACTCTCCTTCACTGACCACCAGGCAGCGTCTTGATAATATCCGAATCACCTGAAGATAATACCAAATGATAAAGTTAGCCAAATCAGTTTTTCACAGGTCGGCAAACAAATCGCTTAGAATGATATGAAAACTATGAAGTACCTGCATCAATGATGCTAAGGCAAGACACCCGGAAGTACTTTCCACATGCTGTACCGAGCTCAACATTGTCTGAAAATAGAACAAATGGTAAGCCAGATGAAAGGATGCAAGTATAGTTGGCAAACTAATTCTCATTTTATTAAAATAAAATGAATAAAAGCATAAGACTCAGCATTCTGCAGCATATATGATCATACTTATGTTATACATGGGAGCATGAAGAAAGACCCGAAATACTAATCAGTAAAGGGCATTCCTATTCCATACAGGATACAGCAATAGACGATAAATAAAAGGCATTTTATGCATGCGAGAATATCGAACATAATGAGAGTAGTGTGACCTAAGAGTAACTCAACTAGACTAAGCAACAACATTTTACCACAACAAACCAATATTTCAGGGAAGGAAGACATATGTTCCTAAATCATGCAAACACAGAACAAGATGTGAAAGGAGGAACTGATGAATACCCACAACGAAGTATACCGTCCAGTGAAAATCCAAGAGCCAATAGGGTAAGGTAAGATGACCAAGGCAATCATGCACCATGGACTAATCGACACAGTGAGATAAGTTGCAACATCTAACAGCCAAGACATATGCCATTAATCCAAACCTTCTGTGTACCAGCAATCAAAGTTTCAACGAGAGCCGGTGACACCAGAACCATCTCGATTCATAATCAAGAGACAACAAGTAGACAAGTGAGAACAAGAATCATATTCTATAATGTTTATCCATATTCTCTTTCTATCGTCAAAGTCAGCAATTGCTGAGATTGTCCTTCATTCTTCAATCAGTGTACCCTCATTTTCCATCACTAATGAATCAACCACCTTATTACACACCTTGAATATATCACAATTTTAACATCTACTTTTGCTTCTTCAACACTTTCTAGTCGAGAAACAGCCACTTACTCTCACATAAACCCATCTCAGACTAACACAAACAATAACATACAACAAAAACAAATCAAAAACCAAATGAATAAACAAAAAATAAATCCAAATATTACTTCAAATATATGATAAATCTGGTAAAAATAAAATCTCATATAAACCTTCAATAAATCACTTACTTCCATTGTAGTGGTGAACCCCAACCTTGGCAAGCATAGCATAGTACTCGATCTCTGACTTCCGCAGAGGTGGGCAATTGTTGGAAATGATAATTAGCTTCCCTGCAATTTTCCAAAAAATAAAAACAAAATCCCAAATCGCAAAACTTGAAATTGAACACAAATCGAATCACAACAATTTAGCAAATAATCAAAAGGATTGGAGATTTCAAGAGATAAGAAATGTGCCTTTGGAGTTGCGAAGGGAATCGATGACGGTCTTGTAGCCAAGAGTGTACTTGCCACTCTTCATGACGAGAGCGAGCCTGGTGTTGATGCTCTCATGGGTCTTCTTCGTCTTCTTCGGGGCCACCATTTTCGACGATTGAAGGTTCTTCGCTGCTGCTTGAAGGCTTTCTCTCTCTCTCTCTCTCTCGCTCTCTGCGGCCGAAGGTGAACAGGCTTGAAGAAGTGGGGAAGGGATGGTTGCTAGGGTTTAGTATATGATGCCAATGAGAGATGGGCTTGCACGTGCCAGTCGCGTGAGTTGCCCAGGTAAATTAGGGTTTCGGTTTTTTCATAATTACATTTTGCACCCTTGTATTTAGCATACGTGACAGTTTGGTCCTTCCTACACGTTCACATATATAATATGGCAAGTTCATTGTAAGACTTAACCTACTCTCTCACTCTCTTAGTGTAGAGATTATCGTTTATTAAAAAAAAATATATCATTTTTGAATTTCAGAATTTTAGGGTCATGATATCAAATTGAAGAGAAGGATTCTTGTGTAGAGAGGAAGTGACTTGCTATATTGTAGCATTGGTTTGGTTGATATATTTGTAAGGTTAAAGTGGGCATGATGGTGGCTGGGTTTCCTATTCAGCATGGCAGCATCATCTATTCTTGCACACTTGACACAATTGAACTACTAAGGTAGAAATTTTAATTATATTGCCATGGTGGTGGCTGAGAGTAGGAACTCTTAAGATTGTGAGGGGTGGTTGTAGGTGTTGTTTATTTTATTTTATTTTTTAATTTTAATTATGAATGTATTCATAAGATTGTGGGGTGAAAAAAGAAAGTACTTATGAAATTTAAAAAATGTGGAGTGCATTTATAAGATTGTGGGGTGTTAATAAAACAATTGGTGCATATTATGCGCTGACTTTTTGCTTGCACGTACAAACAGTTGTTGTTGCGTAAATTTACATTCATCATTTGATAACAAATAAGAACTTTCTTTTGAAGAAACTGTTATTCTCAATGCATCCCGCTCCAACTGCATCACCTGCTCTGTCACCTTATAAAACCCTTGTCCTTTGCCTCTCATTCACCCTCTCATCTTCAGAATCATCAAGTACTTGAATAAAGTCCATACCTTTTCCTCTCTTGTCTATCTCATCTCTCTTTTTCTCTTTCTCTGTTTCAAACACTTTCACCTTAGCAGGCTTTGTTGGAATCAAATTCGCGCATCGTCGTCCCTGGAAGAGTGTTTGATCGGTCATCATAAGAAAGAGCAAACAAATCATGAAATTCCTAAAGTACCGATGTGGTACCAGCCAAAGGTTCTCCAATGGTCAAGTTAGTTAAGGTTTATAGAACTCAAATAGTAGGCAAGAGAGCTAGGAGCAATATGAATGCATGTATCCAATATCAGAATACCTTTTGTTGATGCACAAAACCGGAGGTCTTGGAACAACGTAAATCCGACCGTGAATCTGCATGAAATGTAAATAACACAAGATGTATCGTGGTTCACCCCAAGGTTTGGGCTACGTCCACACTGATTATGTATTTATCTGAGGGAGAGAGAGCTATAAGAGTGAGAGCTTTGAGAGGGGTGAGGGGCCTTAAGAATTGGTCTCCCCTAATTGTGAGGGTGAGGGGTCCTTTTATAGAATAAGGACTCCTCACTTATTACATATTTGCCCATTCCTTTATCACATATGGTATAAACAGTAGTCCCCCAAGTCTTCAATCAAGAGAGTCTTTTGGCTGGAGACTTGAAATTCAGTCTATGTGTGGGCCGAAGTAACTAGATGTTGTCTTGAACTGATGCTCGATATGAGGCGGTGCTCAATCTGAAATGGTGCTCAACTAGAAGTAGCACATGTTGCGAAGCTGCTCGGCTCGTGGCTTATGTTGCCTTGGTTGGCTCGGCTTGTGGTGTTGAAGGTGAGGGAGTCCCTTTTATAGAATAAGGGCTCGATCCTCAATACATGAATGATGGGCTAGAGTTGATGTTCTCTAATAATGGTGAGGGAGTCCCTTTTATAGAATAAGGGCTCGCTCCTCAATACATAAATGATGGGCTAGAGTTGATGTTCGTGGCGAGGCGGTTGCTCAGTAGGCGGCGATGCTCTCTAATGATGGTGAGGGAGTCCCTTTTATAGAATAAGGGCCCGCTCCTCAATACATAAGTGATGGGTTATGAGTGATGCTCGCGGCAAGGCGGTTGCTCAGCTGGCGGCGATGCTCTTTAATGGAGGTAAGGGTGTCCCTTCTATAAAATAAGGGATCACTCCTCAGTACATGAATAATGGGTGCTCTCTAATGAAAGTGAGGGAGTCATTTTTATAGAATAAGGGCTCGCTCCTCAGTACATAAATAATGGGCTAAGTCCCCCAAGTATTTTTTATGAAGCCTCGTTGAGGCCCAATATATGGTACATAATGTAGTCCCCCAAGTCTTCGGTCAATAAAGTCTGTTGGCTGGAGACTTCAAATTGAATCCATGTATGGGCCGAAGTGGCGGTTGTTCGGATGCGGTATTTGTATACCCTGCACTGAAGCTTTGTAAGTAAAGCTTTATAAGTGAAGCTTTGAAGATGGAGCTCTGTAAATGAAGCTTTTGAAGCTAGAGCTTTGTAAATGAAGCTTTTGAAGCTAAAGCTCTGTAAATAAGGCTTTTGAAGCTAGAGCTTTTGTAAATGAAGCTTTTGAAGCTGATTGACATGAGTGATTCTCATGAATGTTTATGTTGATTAACATGAGTAATGCTCATGGATGTTGTCATGAGTGATGCTCATGAATGTTAACATGAGTGATGCTCATGGATGTTGACATGAATGATGGTCATGAATGTTTATGTATGATTGTCATGAGTGATGCTCATGAATGTTTATGTATAAATGACATGAGTAATGCTCATGTATAATTTAGAGTACTGGGCGTACTTTTGATCACTTGGTTGGTGGCATGAAGGAGAGTACGGGTTGTACCTTTCATCACCTGGTTGGTGGCATAAATGGCTAGTTGCCAAATGATATTAGAGTACAGATTGTACATTTCATCACCTGGTTGGTGGTAATAGCGACAGGTTGCCGAATAATTTTGGAGTACTGGGCGTACTTTTGATCACCTGGTTGGTGGTAATAGTGGCAGGTTGCCGAACAATTTTGGAGTACTGGGCATACTTTTGATCACCTAGTTGGTGCTATTTTGGGCTTATGGGCCTTCGCTCTCCACACAACATTCCAGCCCATTTATTTTAGACTTTTCCGTTTTTTTTTGTTTTTTTTATTACCTTCTGATGGGGTTTATACAGATATCTCTGAAAGATAAGAAAAATAAAGTACATGTTTTCAGCATGTTGATGGGCATCTTCTGGTCCAACAGAAAGTGGAGACGGGGAACCTTGGTGGGCATCTTCTTATCTTTCATCATGTTATCCCGTGGGATAGTGGAGCATCTTCTTTTCGGCTTTTCCTTTTTTGCTTTCTTTTCCTTTTTTGCTTTCTTTTGCTTTTACTTTCTCTTTTTTGCTTTTGTTTCTTTTGCTTTCCTGCTTTGCTTTTGCTTTTGGCAGATGGCAGGAATAATAATAGGCTAAGTATTGAAAAAGCTTATCTTATTCGTGAGTGTTTTTCCAGATAGTGGGATGGTGGACTCTCTGTGGCTACTCATCTTCACACCAAACATCCTGAAAATACATACAAGTTGCAGAATTTATACCGAAGGTGGGCCCACCATCACCGACATCCCTATATTCATTCTTCTCATTGCTTGCGTTGCCCTTGGTTTTTGATAGACGGATCGAGAGGACCGTCGACGCAACACACAGCAGCAGCGATGGGGAAGGAAAAGCAGCACCAGTTGATGCAGAACCTATTCGATGATCAATATACTCCTCGTGACCAGCGAGGTTGATCTTCTCCTTGTGACGGTAGTGACACCATGCAAGCTCCGAGTCCTGAAGATACTAGCAAGAACATAGTGGAGATCATATTCCAATCCAACTGGCTGAAAAAAGAGACCCCAATCTGCAAAATTGACCGCATCTTTAAAGTCTACAACGCCCAAGATACCATCACCAAATTCGAAGAGTATAGAGACTTCATCAAAGCAAAAGCCACCAAGCTCCCCAAGAAACACCCATGCTGCATCGCTGACGGCAACGAGCTCCTTCATTTCCACTGCACCACCTTTGCCTGTTCCCTTGGCCTCAATGGCTCCTCCAACCTCTGCAACTCAATCCCACACTGCAATGTTTGCAGCATTAAAAAAAAAACACAATCCCACGCTGAGACAAATTCGCACAAAAAACCAAAAATTAAGCAGCACGACTAGCGGAGCTGGTTTATTTGGTTTCGTTGACCTTTAATTTGGGATTTAAAGAAGACGGCCAGGAGAGAGGCGACTCCCGCGTATTTCAGTAAGCTCCGAGCAGCGTCGTTGTTGGAGATCGACGAAGGTGTTGAAGAAGTTCCATAATGAGGTGTCGTCAATGACGGCGTGGTTGACAGAGCATCTAATGAAAACGGCGTCACTAAGGTCAGTAACCTGGACAGCCAGGATTGCATTGTGGTGGCCGGAGTAGTTGAGTATCATCTTGAGGTCGCTGTCACCGTCCACGGCGAGCCTAGATCGCCGTCGCCTCGAATATATCTCCGAGACCCACTACATCCTTCTCGATCTTGTCGTAGGGTACATTGTAGGGTGAAGAAATCAAACTTGTCGGTGCGGGTAATGGCGGAGGCCATGTCGTTTTTCTGGAGAGCTCGACGTTTGCTCTCCTCCGCTTGGTGCTAGGAGCGGATGGTGAGCTCGGGGATGAAGAAGTCGCATGCCTCGCATGCCTTGGTGAAGAGGACGGGGGCCTCGGCGGAGATCATATGGACGTCCTCGTCGGCCTTCATGATCTTCTTGATGCGGGCGAATGAGAGCTGGTGATGGTGATTTTTGTCATGTGGGAAGTGTGGGAATAGCGGCTACCAACATGATTCAATACACTTTTTTCTTCCCCATATTGATCCCGATCTCAGAAAATTTGGGGGAGAGAGAGCTAGAGTTTGTGTGTGTTCTGGGTTTTTAGGATTGAGAAATTTGGATCTGTGGTTTTTTTTTTTTTTTTTTTTTTTTTGGTTTGGTGTTTCTGCAGATTCACGGTGGAGGTGAAAAAACAAAAGAGAACCGACATAGTTTTTTTTGTGTCGTTTCCCACAGACGGCGCCAAATGTTGATTGTCATATCCCAGCCCGGGT